TCAATATTTCCTTGAATGTTTATAATATATATATATATATATATATATATATATATATGAGAATATTTAATGTAATTAAAATATTTAATTTATTTATTTTAATTCATGTTTTTTTCTTTTCTGCAATGCTTTGTGATATGATAACGTTTGGAATGTATTACATTAAAGAAAATATTTATTTAATTAAATTAAATTAAAATGTGTATTTAAATTAAATATGAATATTTAATTAAATGTAATAAAATTCTAATTAAATTGAAATATATTTTTATTTTTTTATGCTTAAATATTTTTTTATTTTAATTCATTTTTGTATTTATTTCTGCAGTGCTTTGTGATAAGTATAAATATATGTCACGTCAAGAAAAGTGAATATTAATATTAATCGTAATGAATTAAATACTTCATGAATTATGTGCACTTTGCAAATACTTATTTAATCCCTCATTCTACAGCTTCAGGATATGGAGAACACGATGACGGAGCTGGAGAAGTTCGACCACACGCAGGTGATGGTGAAACAGCGTGAGAACCAGCATATTAAGAGGGACCTGGAACATTGCAAAGCAGAGCTCAATAGTACATCACCAGCCCCTACACTTTCCCCAGGTACATATGAACTAGTTTATCATAATTACGTAACCACAGCTAAAGCATTAAAATATTAGACTTACATTTTTGCTTCTATCTTTTTAGGTCACTGTGGTCTGGGCCGCATGGTCAACGTATCGGGACCTAAAACGTATTCCCTCACAGTGTACGGAACGTCCTACTCTTTTGGTGCTTGGGGTCGAGATGCACATCCTGCTCCAGGAGACGAGAACAAGTACTGGCTGGTGGTGCTGTCCAGTAGTAATGCATTCGGCAACTTTATCCGCCAGTATAGTAGTTTGAGTACTATTATATTAGGTATAGGACCAACAGATACACACATATCAAGCTCCAATCCCACAACAAACACAATTCAGGGGCCAAACATGGTCATGTACGCCAATGCGCTCTACTATAACTGTTACAACACATACTCCGTCTGTCAGTTCAACATGACGACTCGTTCTGTCAGTACTGTGGCTCTACCTAGTGATACAGGATACAACAACAAGTTTCCATTCGCACACCTCGGCACAACATACAGTTATACTGATATGGATTTTGCCACAGATGAATCTGGGGTCTATGTTATATATGCGACCACAAACAACTTCGGAAATGTGATTATCAGTAAAGTCGAGACTAGTAACCCGCCAGTTTTGAACAAAACATGGTTCACTTCTCTTCACAAAAAGACTGTGACAAACACCTTCATGGTGTGCAGTGTGCTTTATGCTACTCGTTACGTGGATAAAGAAATAGAAGAGATCTTTTACTACTATGACACCAAGACCAACGAAGAACGCTATGATTTGAGAATTCACATTAAGAAGTTGCAGACTAATATTAAGTATATGAATTATGACCCCAGAGATCATTTGCTGTATGTCTACAGTGACGCCTACATTGTGACATATGAAATTATGTTTTAGCAAGTTCACTGAACTTGATTAATGATATCTTGTCTTTTATTCACCAATAAGTGTTATGATTTTACA